CAGAGTTATTAAGCTTAAGGAAAGAGTAAAGATTAAGTTACAGAGTTGGGTAATTCATTAAGGCATGGCTTTCACTCTCAGTACTCCACTGATGAGGTCCTGTTGGAGGTCTCGATGACCTACTCCTTCAATGGCCAGATACATTTTCTTAACCTGCAGAATCCATGCTGAGGAATTGGATGCTGTTGATTACAGACTACTTTTCTAGCTCATATCCAAAGGCTTTCTGGCCCCATGGTTATTGAAAGGCACTGAAGTGTACACCAAACTGGATTTGTGCCGGTCCAACAGCTGCTGTTAAACTAGGAAACTAGTATCTCTCAGCCTCATTTTCATGGAAATAAGGATACCTACTTCATAATGTGATTGCAAGGATTAAAAGAGATGACATGTAGATAATATGTTGTCATAAATAACTTATGGTAGGCAGGCATTATGGTTTGGTTTGCTTTTCTTACCTGATAGCTACTCTGTCCTTGCCTGAATGTGTCTTGCCCTTTTCATATCCATACCTGTGCTCAGGTGTTCCCTCTTTCTGGAATGCTGTCTCTCCTGTTTATACCTATCGAAATCCTCACTGCGCTAAAAAATTGACTTTAACATTTCAATCAGAATTGAACTTTGTGCCTTTTGGATTCTCAGTATTATTCTTTGGGATAGCTACAAGTTACTAATCCTTCATTTTAGTTATTTGTGCACATCTTATTTTTCCTACTGGTTGGTAAACTCCTTGAAGGTGGAGCCCATGTCAGACACATGGAGATAAAACAGTAAGAGGTGAGACTGTGTTTCCATACAGGGCCTTCTGCATAGTTATGGTTCCAGGGTGCTTTCATCGTTGTATTTTTTCCCCCTTAACTATAACCATATGCTGATAATTTCTAAATATTTTTCTCTAGCCCTAACTCTACTCCTGTGCTTCAGGCTTAATCACATGTCCGGTGAGTGTGTCCAGCTCACTATCTCATGGGCACCTCAAAGACAACATGTCTACAATTTATCTTTTATCTGTTTCTGCTCCCCCACCTCACACACGATCTGACCCCTTCATATGATCTTCAAAATAGATCATATCGTATTTATGGTATCACAGTCTTCCCAGTCCCTGAAGCAGAAACTCGGGTGTTTGTCATTTCTTCCTGACTCCTAAATATTTCATTCCCCCTCTTTCTGTGTTAAAAAGCTAGTGTGGGCCCTTCTCTCTCAAGTGGTTTTACTTTAGTTTCTTTCTAATAGATCTATTTCATCCTGTGCTCAGTGCTCTCAGTTCATCCTCTACACTCTGTGCATATCACAACTCCCTCAAATGAAACCGTTTGATGGCTTCCTTTCATATACATAAGGGATGAGAAAAGTGGTTTTATCTCGTGAACCAGCTCTGGTCAATTTGGTAATGTCTGCTGTAAGTACTGCTGTTGGGTTCAGTATGATTGCTTAGTAATGTCTGCAGTGAAGTGGGGTGGGGAGCAGCCCATAATGCTGAGCTAGGATTAAGTTCAAGCACTTTTGCGTGACATAGAAGGTCTTCCATGACCTTATATTACCTAAAGTATTATACAGACTACCCATGTCTTCATCCTCAGCTCTGTTTCCCTGCTTCACATTGAATTTTGGCATATCAAGGAAATGCTGTGTCTTCTTGCTTTTGTTCAAGCTGGGCCTGCTTCTCTGTACTTTTTAACTAGGAAACCCATACTCATCTTGCAGATCTTGGTGTGAATGAGGAGTGCGTAGGTGGGCTCTGCATAAAGTTGAGGGTTCTTCTTCTTCTAGGCTTTAGTGATACCTGTGCCTTTTCTATAGCAGTTCGTATCTCATTGATCTGAAATCCTATGTGTCTCCCTTGCAATGCACTAAATTTTATCAGGGCAAATATCATGTCTGAATTTGTCTCTGATACTTATCACAGTACCTTTCATATAATAGGTACTGTGAATTAAATTGTTTATTGAATTGAAATAAATTACTAAATAATTTTGATTGATGAACATTCTTTGCTTTTACTTTGATACCCCTTCAGGGTGAAAAGACAGATTTTAGGAAAAGTTAATGCTCTGCAGAAAATTTAGATTAGTGAATCAGGCAGTAAGTAGACATTGGGAATTTTTGAGCAGGGGTGTGGTGACGAAAGTGATATTTAAGGAAGATTGATCTGGAGACAGCCTTTTATTATAGGTTTAAGTCACTCCTGGGAAACAGGTGAAGGTAGCAGCGGTGCAGAGAGGGAGAGGCAGAGGCAAGCATAGAAAGCCATTCTGAAGCACAGCTTCCTTAGACTTTGTACTTTCATTTCCACATTTGCTCAAGTGGTAGGGACTCGTAGGCATGTTTCCGAAAATAAAATAGAACACTCATGTTTTTATTTTTAAAGAAAGGACAGTCTTGTAAAACACCTAAGTGATTCGTTTTTCATAATTAAGTATGAGACATATTATTAATTACCCGAAAAAGTGGTTACGAGTTGAAGTTTTTTTTTAAAAAAAATAATTAGCTTCTGCATAGCTAGCCTAAAATCTTCCGAAGTTAGTGGTTTTCATTCTAGCACATTTTGAAATAATGGTTAGTTATGAGGAAAATACTGCAGTTTCTTTCTCCAGCCTCCTTTGTGTTATAGTTTAACACCCCCACTCTAATTGTAGGTTTTCAGTCCCCCACGGGCATTTGTATTTCGTATATGACTCACATGACTGTATTTATTGGTTAAAGTTTATATTCCCTTTGTGGTTGGGCCATGTAGCTCCACTCTGCTTTATTCTTAATATTGGCCATTATAAGTATCTTAATTTATAGTCACTTTGTTATTTTTTATTACAGAGTTATGACTCACTGATTAAAAAGGACATTCCCAAATACTTTGCACTTTTGATTGCATATTATGGATACCAAGGAAGAGAAGAAGGAACGGAAACAAAGTTATTTTGCTCGGTAAGCATGTGCTTTGCAAAATTTTATCGGTACTTAAAAAAAAAAATGTTTGAGTGCACTCTGTCCTCAAGTTTTACTTGGCATTCTGTGTCTTGTGACTATTCATAAGCAGAGCAAGTAGCCAGTAGAAGTTAAATATACTTTGTTTCTTGCTCTGTAACTTAATTGGTTGAGCTATAACTAAAAAGCTATGACATATTTGAAACCTAATACCTTGTAAGGAATCTGTTACTAAAAAGTATTTTTGTAAATAGATGGAATGGATGAAATTCTCTCATTGATGTCCATGTCGTTTTTAAAGCTTACATGTATTGGTTGGTATCTGGATAGAAGTAATCTAGTGTATGATCGGTTACTATTTACAAATTTTAACCTCTACATGGCAGCCACTCACTAGTCATAATAAAATGAAATAATATGCTAAAACATTTATAAATCATTTATAAATTTTGATAGCTGGAATGTTTTCAAACCCAGAATGAGAACATAGCTTAAAATGATCATTAGGCCTCCTAAATTGAAATACTTCTTAAGGACTGATTCAGGCTCACTGCATTCCCAATCCCCAGTCTGTGCTCCATAAAGATACATTTCCTGTTTTCCAAATATAAGCCTTGGAAACTGACAACCAGAGTTTTTCGTTCATGTTTTTATCTAGAAATTAAGCGAAGTTTTAGATTGTTAATGGGAAAAGGAAGGAAATGAATATTTAAGGAACTCTGTTATGTGCCAAGTACTTACTGTTTTATTTATCTTCACAGTAAACTTATGTCATAGGTTTTTCCCATTTTACCAATGAAGTAAAGTGTTTTGTCCGTTTCATGCCATGGAAGAGTCAGTATTTAATAGAGGTCATCTCCAAAGGGCTGCTGCAATTAATAGCAGTAAATCATGAATGAGAGGTTTTGGAAAGCAAGAATTAAACTATGAATTGTAGTGAAATGTTTTTCACTATTAGGACTATAGAGAGTAAGAAGAAATCAGGCATCTAATGGGTGAAACATTAGAAAGATAGGACACTGGAATAAATAAAAACAATAGAGTGATTTTTCTACGTGTTTTATTTTGAGATAATTGTAGATTTACATGTAGTTATAAGAACTAATACAAAAAGATATCCTATACCCTTCATCTTGTTTCCCACAATGGAATACCTAACATAATTATCCTATAATATCACAACTAAAATTGACATCGATATAGTGCACCAACCTTATTCAGATTTCGCTAGGTTTACAAGCTCTCTTTTGTGTTTGTGTGTGTTTTTATGTGTCTTTAGGCCTATGCGGTTTTATCACATGTAGGTTTGTGTGGCCACCATCACAATCAAGATGCAGAACAAACCTGTGAAAAAGATCCCTTTTTGTAGTCATATTCACTTCCTTTCCTCTACCTTCCACTCCTGACAACCACTAATCTGTTCTCAATCTCTATAATTTGTCATTTCAAAAATATTGTATAAACGGAATCATACTCTGTAGAATCTTTTGAGATTAGATTTTTTTCACTTAGTGTGATTCCCTTGATGTCTCAGTCCACACAGACTGCTGTGACAAAATACAACAGACTGAGTGGCTTATAAACAAAAGAAGTTTATTTTTCACAGCTCTGGAGGCCGGATGTCTGAGATCAGGGTGCCAGCATGATCAGGTTCTGTGTCTGGTGAGAGCCCACTTCCGGTTCATATAAGGCACTCAGTCCTCTTGCTGTAACTGCAAGTGATTAAAGGGGCAAGGAGCTTTTTCAGGCCTCTTTTACAAGTATACGAATCTCATTCATGAGGGGCCTACCCTCATTACCTAATCACCTCCCAAAGGCTCCACCTCCTATTGGGCATTAAATTTCAACATACGAATTTGGTGGGGAACACATACATTCAGATAATAGCACTTGAGATCTGTCTAAGATGCTGTATATATTATTTGTTCTCTTTTATTGCTGAGTAGTATTCCATGGTCAGAATGTATTGCAATTTTTTAACTGTTCATCTGTTGAAGGACATTGGTTTTTTTCCATTTGGGGACTGTTAAAAATAAAGCTGCTAGGATCATTTGTGTACAAGTTTTTATGTGAATGTAAAACTTTAATTTCACCAGATAAATGCCCAAGAGTGAAATTGCTAGGTCTAGTGATAAGTGCATGTTTAACTTTGGAAGAAACTGCTGTATTCTTTTCCAGCGTGGCTGTACTGTTTCACATTTCACTCCATCAGCAATATATAAATGACTCAGTTTCTTCAAATCCTTGTCTGCATTTGGTATTGTCACTCTTTATTTTAGCCTTTCTGATAGATGTACAGTGATATCTCATTGTGGTTAAATTAGCATTTCTTTAATAAACTAAAGAACTTGAACATCTTTTCATGCGTTTATTAGCCATCTATCCATCTTCTTCAGTGCAATGTCTTTTCATGTCTTTTGCCTATATTGTAATTGGATTTTGTTGTTGTAGAGGTTTGAGAGTTTTTTATGCATTCTAGATACTAGTTCTTTCATATATGGTTTGCAGATATTTTCTCCCAGTCTAGCTTTTCCCCCTTCCTCTTAATAGTGTCTTTTTTTGCAGAGCAAGAGTTTTTAATTTGGATGTGATTCAATTTATTAGTTTTTCCTTTTATGGATTGTGTTTTTGATGTCAGATCTAATAACTCTTTGCCCAGCTCTCATCTGTCTTAAATATTTTCTTTTTTGTTCCCTAAAAGTCTTATAGTATTATTTTATATAAAATATTTTATATTTAACTTAAATATAAGTTAACTTTCATATAAGTTAACTTATATGAAAGTTAACTTTCATATAAGATGTGAGTTTAGGTCAGCGTTTTGTTTGTTTGTTTGTTTGGTGGTGTTTTGCGTTGGACGCTCTACATAGCAATTTCAAAAACTATCGTGCCTGCTCAGTCTGAATCCAAACTGATTCCAATAGTAAGAATTGACTGGTGGTTCATGAACAGTCTGCTCAAAGTTAACCACTTCTTGTTCCTAAGATGTAGAGTTAGGGGAGCCCCTTAAAGTGAGAATACAAGATGAAGCTGTTCTGAAAAAACAGTGTAGTTTTTTCAACTCAGAAATGTCAAAGTTAACTGTCATGCTTGCTTTGACCTCGTGTGAAAAGTATTCTAACAATTAAAAGAAAACCGTATCCTAAAATGAAGTGTGACCTTGGGAACATAGGGATAGCTGGAGAAGGACAAAAATCAGTGGTGCTATTAAAACAGTAGGTCAACATGATTGGTTACTAGGAAATGAGAGAGCTTGAGAGAGAGAGAGACGGTGGGGGTGGGGGGGGGAGGGAGAAAACAGACAAACCTGTAGTTTAGCGATTTTAATGCAGCAGCAGCCAAAAATGGTCAACCCCTACTCCTAATCCTTCATTATCAGAAAAGAGCAACAGTTATAAATCTTTTCAAATGCCTTCGGACTAAACTGTGGCATTCCATAAAGTGGAATTACTAACAGGACCTACTTGAAAGCCAGTTTCTGACAACATAGGGCTGATTTCTCTGGAGCAGTGTGAATGAGAGCAGTCCAGGCAAGATCTCCAGAGAAGAATGTAAAGTCAGGCAAAGGGTAAGACCAAACTGACGCAGTTACACCACTGTAAACAAACCTCTAGGGTCTCAGAGGAGAGCAAAAGGAAGACTTCTCCTGATTTCTGCCTGCTACCACAGTGTGTATCTGAAATCCTAAAAATTGCTTTTAAACTCTATTCACCCCTCCCCGCCACCCCCATCCCTTTTCCCTAAGAGTAGTTAAATAGCCTGTTTTCTTGGTGGGCTCCTCTACCACGTGGTTTCATAAACGTGGTGTGATTGTGTTTGGTAAATAGTCCCTTATTTGCCTCCTTTGTTGCTGTCTCTCTCTCTCATCAGAGAAAGGTAAGTTTAAAAGACTCTATTTTAAGAATTTTGCATTGAAATGAGCAATTTGAGGATTTTACCCAATACTTCCTTTTTCATAATTTATCTTGAAATTTGCTTTTGAAACTCTAAAAGGGTGAATTAGCTTCACTAATAGGTGGTTTTATTCTGAATAAGCTCTGAGTTTGAGGACCTCCTACTCCTAACCCTCCTGGTTCTCAGGACCTTCAGTGTTGTTTTATACCAGTTGCTTATTCCAGATGGAATAATTCGTGAGACCTTTTCCTGTGCTTTTGCAGAGAATATGTATATACACATTTAGTATATTACAAATGTGTGTATTAATTCCTTGATACTTGACAGGTTTTGAAACTAAATGAAAAATTGAATTATTATTAAAGCAAATTATACTCTCTGTACTACCCTGTGGAGTGATAGTTATTCATTATGGCCTTGTGCCCTCTTCCTTCCCCTTGCAATTAGAAGGCAGATATTTGTTCAGTAGTGCTACACAGGGCTCTCTTCCACACTCATTTTGACATTATTTGGCTTTTGTACAATTTAGAACCCATTTTGTGATTTTTCTGTAGATCTCTTTATGTCTTCATATGTGTGTTTGAAAATTCCTTGAGAACCTATTTTTCAGGACCCCGGGTTAATTTAGGATATCAAAAATATATTTTTAGTTAAACCAAAGTGGTATTTTGCAGGAGATCTACTTTCCCCCTCTAATAAGATTTGAGAGGGCCTGTGAATAGATAATGAGTGATAGAGACCCTTCAGTAGACCTTTCTTGGTTATACTTACTTGCTGGCTCCTCCCACTCTTTCTTGGTTATCATGAAAAGCAGAACTGCCACTGCCACCTGTTTCCTTCTCTTGCCCACCCCCTTCAGAGCCAGCAATACATAGCAGGGAGGGGATGATGCTTTTCTGTCCCCCTCACCTTCCACCCCTAAGGGTGCAGAGTATACCACACTTCTTAGCTCCCATCCCTGCTCCTTAGACACCTCTCACTTCTGTCTCCAGACTTTGCCCTGGCAATTTTTCAGCCTTGAACCTCTGACCCATCAGAAGAACACTAGTGTTTGAAAATAACTTCAGTGCATGATCTTGGCCAACTTTCTAAACTCCTTCACGCTA